AGATAGATAGATAGATAGATAGATAGATAGATAGATAGATAGATAGATAGATAGATCACGAAAACCATATATTATTGTATATACCCTGGAACATATACACTATACATCAATGCTACAAAATAAACCAAGAACCCGCTTCAGGAGCTAAGCTGCAGGCAGGACCGAGGCGCTCTGGGTTTAGATCCCTCCCAGGGGGAGCTCCGATCCCTGCAGGTGGGTTTTCCATCGGTCCCTCCTTGCCCCTCTCCTTTCCCTTGGCTCCCTCAGCTCCCTCCCCTCTTACGGGGGTCTCCGGGCTTTATACCCGGCCATCCGCGAAGGCAGCAGAGATGCTCTTGGAAGAAGGGCAAAGCCGCACACCGACCCGGTTAAGGCCAAGCGGTTTTAGCACGAAGACCCGCCACTTCCATCGCCTTCTTGGCCTCTCGTGAGGATGATGAGGATGAGGATGGAGGGGGGCCTGCTCTTCCTTACCTGCTTTGGGGCACCCCAAACCGCCTACCTGCGCTTAAAGAACCAAGAAAAGAGAAGGCGGCGCTTCGGCTCAGAACTCGCCCGAGGGAACCAATAGGAAAGCCGGGAGATCCCGACCGGGAGAAGAGGATTGCTTTTTCCACCTGTCAATCATCCTAGAAGGAAATGCTCTGGCGTTCTTCTCCCCTCCAGGCTACCTATTCTGATTGGGGGCGGGAGCAACGACGGGAGAGGTGTCCATCAAAGCCGGGTTTTTCAACGCCCACCCCTCCCCAAAGGACTACAACTCCCGTGAGCCTCTCCCTGCTCCGGCCTGGGAGCGTGACCGGAAGCGGTATAATCCAGCCTGGTTTCCGGTCGAGGGGATTAAAAATGGAGGAGATCGGCATCTTGGTGGAGAAAACTCAGGTACGGGGGGAAAGGGGGAAAAAGGGAAAAAGAGCGAGCCGTGAGGGAGCAGAAGCGAAGTCGCGGGGGGAGACGATTTGGCCCTCTTCCGCTTGCGAGGCTTGGGAAGGAGGCGGCGGAGCGCGCCGGGAGCCCGAAGGACGAAGACGAGGGAGGCGGAGATGCCGAGTCACCGCTTGTGGGTAGGCCTGGCAGCGGGGGTGAGAGCAGGCCGCGGCCGCCGGCAGGTTCCCTCCTTCTCGGGCCGTGTTTTTGAGGCGTGTTTTGATTTATGCAACTGAGAGCGGATTGCACTTAATTTGTATTTTGATTGCCTGCGGTAAAATTCTCTTATGAACGCTTTGAGGGGTGTTCATATCAATATAGATCTTGTTACTATGTCATCATCATCCTACTTTTTTTTTTTGCTACATAGGCAGCCGGAGATTGCCTATGTAGGCACAAACAGACTGAAGAGTAGTTTTTATCGGACTCCTGAACGCAAAATAATCGTACAACAACATAGTACGAGTGACTTGCGGGCCGCCCGACGTGCAATAAATTCACATTGGTGCAATAGGATTGTGTATGTGTTAATAGGATTCACTGGGTTAGGGATTTTCTGTCTTTCATTGTGAATTGTGTTGGGGGGGATGCACAAAAGGAGGCTCAGCCAATCTCATTGTACACATGTTGTTCTCTGACAATAAAGGTTTGAATTTGAAATTGTATATGACTCCAGACAGCGAAGATACCTGATACAGGTAGCCTTCGACTTACAACAGTTCATTTAGTGACACTGCCAGTGGGGGAAAAAAGGGAATTATGACCATTTTTCACACTTATGATTGTTGCAGCGTCCCCCTGGTCACATGATTTACATACGGATGGTTGACAAGCTGGTTTCATATTTATGAAAATCGTAGCATCCTGGGAACATGTTATCCCCTTTTGCAACTTTCTGGCAAGCAAAGTAACAGGGAAGCCAGATTTGCTTAACAATCTTATTCAACAATCAGATTCAACTAACAACTGCAGTGATTCACTTAACAAATTCGTCTAGAAAAGTTGTAAAATGGGGGCAAAACTCAACAGATTTATCAGCGACATTGTGGTCGTAAGTAGAGGACTATATATCTGTATTCCAGCCTTCTGTTTTTTTGCCACAACAACATTGAGTTGGGGTTTACTGAGGGGGGGTGGACTGGATCAAATCCCCCCCACCCCAACTAGCTTTTGTGCCTATGGAACGATTAGAACTAGAGTCTACTGCAGTGGTATCAAACTCAAGGCCCAGGGGCCAGATCCGGCCCATGAGGTGCTTAGATCTGGCCTGTGGTGCCACCCTGGAAACAGCGAAGGACCGGTCCGTGATTCCTCTATCAGGGAAAACTGAGCTCAGGTGGCTGTGACGGCCTCCTGCAACCGGCCCTTCTGAATTTCTATTTTCACTGGCAGAGTGCTCGGGCCACCACAAGGCACCCCCCACCTCTGACACAAGTGACATTGAGCTTGGCCATGCCCACCCTGGCCACACCCATCCAGCCCCCAAGGTCAAACACAACCCTGACCCTCAATGAAATCAAGTTTGACATCCCTGATCTACTGGTTTCTAGGCCTATACTAACTACTTTATCTCAGTTTTCACCATTTTCTGGGAAATTATTCTCTTTTTCACTGAAGCTTACGCCAATATTCTATTGAGACTTCAGAAAGCCATCTATTGGATGATAAATAAGGGTTGCACTACTAGTAGGGATAAGAGCAAACTTAATAAAGAGTGCTAAATACTTTATCTGTTGGAGCTTTTATCCAATTAGGCTTCGGGTTTTAAAGGAATTCCAAGGACGGTGCTTCGGGTACATCTAGTTTGTTAGTGTTTGTTAGCCTGTTTCCCACTCAGTTCTTCCAGCATGTATCCTAATGTTTGACAAAGGTTGGAATTTGTTACATGCCTATTCATACGTGCAAAATTTTGAAATAAGGCTTAATCAGTAAAATGAACATAAGCCTGAGGCTTTGGAGTTTGTGCTTAATGTAAGGAGAGAAATAAAGTGTGCCATGTATTTCTAACATGGAATGTGTCCTTCAAGATAACAGTAAATGTCAGCTGATTAAATGTTAGAAATACATGGCATACTTTATATGTGGCATACTTTGTATATATACAGGTCATGTTTTATAGAAATACACGACATCCTTTATTTCTCTCCTTACATAAGCCACAAACTACATAAGCCTTAGGCCTATATTAATTTTACTGATTTTGCACAAATGAATGGGCATGTAAGCAACTTCAATCATTTGAAATGTTTGCTTTTTTTTTTGCAACAACTGTGATTGCTAAAAATGATAAGTAAGGAAGCCAACAACTCCCTGTGGTTTAATAGATGCTGATATTGGATGTTAAAGAGTTGCTCAAAACAGATGGTTGAAACTTTCTTTCGGCTATCCCTATCCTAAATAAAAAATTTGCACAAACTTAGTAAACCACGTGCTACGTATTGATTTTGACATGTTAACCTTAGCAGCCTTAAGCAATTTAAATGAAGTATACATTCTGTTTAGATGCATACAACTCACCTCAATAAGTCAGATAAAGATCAAATACATTCAATTGTATAAGTTAAACTTGTTTTTTTGCTCCTATTTTGGTTTCCTTTTAGGGGATTTTTTGGCCTCAGATTATTGTGCAAATCCAGGTCTTTATCATTCATACTATATGAAATGTAGAAAATGGAGGATATTCTATATTCTATATCCAAGTTATTTATATCTAATCTGTGTTTTAATTTATAGGATGAGCTTCCTGCTCTCTCTATTTCCAGACCTCAGACTGGCCTCTCCTTCCTAGTTCCTGAAGCTGAGGATGTCGAGGATCTATATAGCCGATATAAAGTGAGCTGATCTTCATACTACTATGGTTTAGCAGTGCTGAAGAGTGTTATTGTTTCTAATTTGCATTTTATATTTGTCAGACTACAACACGGGTGTCAAACTTGTGACGTCACGTGACATATCACGATGTTTTTCCCCTTCGCGGAGCTGGGGTGGGCATGGCCTGTGCGTGACACATCGGGCCCGTGGGTAGCCAGTTTGAAACCCCTGGTCTACAACTATGTCTGTGTTCAAAAGACATTGGAAAAATAAAACAGAAAAGAAGTAAATTATTAATTTTATATCCTACATTTATGTTGTGCAACTCTCAAAGCAGTCTACATCATGCTTTTTCTGTCTATCTTAACAGCATCCCAGTAAAGTGGGTTGGACTGAGAGAGAATGACTAGCCTGACGTCACCCAATTGACTTGTATGCCTAAGAATTAGAACTTGTAGCCTCCTGGTTTCAAGTACAGTATGGTTGATAAAGTGTAGCAAACCAGATACCGTAAATATGTAAAAAAATAGATCTCTGTAGAATTTTATTCAAGGGTCTCACTTTAGTTCCTTCTTTATGTCTGATATCTTCTGTATCGTTTGTATTATGTCTGATAACTTTTGCTCTAGTTGTTGCTGTTAGCCTTCCGGAACAATGAACTACTAAGTTTGTTGCTCTCTTTTCCTCCAAGAAAAGCATTATGGCAGGAAAAACCAGGGAAAATAACTGCAGTTTTCTCCCCCGCCTCCCCCCCCCCCCCCAAAAAGTCCTCCCCCAAAGTGCGCCTCACCTAGCATTTCGTTTGTTTTTCCTGCTCCCTTCTTCCATTTTTTTTGTCTCGCTCTGTTTTTTTTTTGGATTACAAACATAAAACTCTACTCTTAAGTTGTGAATGTCCCTGAATTTTAAAAACAAATATAACCACTGTTTCAAAAATAATGAATACAATTAAGTTATTTCAAAATGTACATTTCCCATACTTTTCTGGTATTCAAGTAGGGGGAATGTACTACCTGGTACACATATTCAGCAGGAAGTCATGATGTGGTTGCTTATCTCTTGTCCTTGCTTCGTTTTATAAGCGGGAATTATTCAGGCGCAACAAAAGCTGCACTTTTCTTTGTCTTTTTGTAGAAACTCCAGCAAGAGCTGGAATTCCTGGAGGTCCAGGAAGAATATATCAAGGATGAGCAGAAAAATCTTAAAAAAGAATTTCTGCATGCTCAGGAGGAGGTGAAACGTATCCAGAGCATCCCACTGGTCATTGGCCAGTTCCTGGAGGCAGTGGATCAAAACACAGCCATTGTTGGTTCTACCACAGGTGTAGTGCTTGTCCTTTTTGCTGGCTCTTGATTTGTGGAAAGTTGAGGAAAGGAACTTCATGGCAGACCTTCTCTTTTCTTGAATTGCCTCCCTGGTAGCTCACAGGCCCATGTTGATTTCTGTTAGATGGTCTAAAGCAGGGAGTCAAACTCGATCCCATCATGAGCTGTATCAGGATTTTATTTGCCCTTGGGGGCCTGGGGTGGGAGTGGCTCAGGTGGGCTTGAGATGGGGTGGCATGGGCCTGTCCCTCCTGATCTGGCCTGTGGGCTGTGGATTTGACACCCCTGGTCTAAGGGCTGCCATATCAATACCCCCAAATACCTCAAAGCAGCGTTCTAAGGCATGGAAGTTGCAGCTAGACATGATGGTCCCTGCTGTTCAGAAAGAAGGGATGGACACAGCCCTGTATCAGCGATAGTCCTAAGTGATCTTCCATACTCCCCATTCCTTGGAAGTAGAATTAGGGCCTGGTCTAATCTTGTGAATGTTTCCAATGCAGGCTCTAACTACTATGTCCGAATCTTGAGCACCATTGACCGTGAACTGCTGAAGCCCAATGCTTCTGTGGCCCTACACAAGCACAGTAATGCGCTGGTGGATGTGTTGCCTCCTGAGGCTGATAGCAGTATTATGATGCTGACTTCAGGTGACGTTCATCTATCTATCTTAACCAGAGATGCAAACTCCGCTGTGTGCCTGCGTGGAGCGTATGTTTTTGTTTGCCAGATAGTCATTTCATCTGCAAAAATTCCAGATAAATATGAGACTGAATGGGCTAATTAACTCTTTTCTGCATCTGCTCATCATGTAGTTGCTGAGCACATGAAGTGCAGTCACGTGACCATGGGGTGGTGGCAGCTATTGGACCTTTGGAATTGTATTTATAAGTATTCCTGGGGAGGTCTGTCGTAACTTTGAAAAGTCGCTAAGCGAACGGTTGTAAGTCAAGGACTACAAGTCATTTCTTGAATTGAGAGCAAGTAAAACACAGACTCAAGGGTTGCTTGCAAAGATGGGTAGCTATTGGGATGAAATCTTATCGGTGTCCATTTGTTCCAAATAGATCAAAAACCAGATGTGATGTATGCTGACATTGGTGGGATGGATATTCAGAAGCAGGAAGTCCGAGAGGCCGTGGAGCTGCCCCTCACTCACTTTGAACTTTACAAACAGGTATTCTAAATTTCAGAGCTGAAAGTCTGCAAACAGAAGTGAACACAAACTGTCCTTTTATTATCGTTATATCTCATTTCTGTTTTTCAAAACTTCTTCAAAACCCATATAAGGAGCCTCTGTGGCGCAGTGGTTAGAGTGCAGTACTGCAAGCTACTTCTGCAGCCAGCTGCCTACAATTTGGCAGTTCAAATCCCACCAGGCTCAAGGTTGACTCAGCCTTCCATCCTTCCAAGGATGGGTAAAATGAGGACCCAGATTGTTGGGGGCGATATGCTGACTTTGTAAACCGCTTAGAGAGGGCTGCAAAGCACTATAAAGTGGTATATAAGTCTAAGTGCTATTGCTATAAGGCATTTGATCTCCCACTCAGCTCAAGCATAATAACTTCTCCTAAGCTGTTTTGTTCAGGTTATGAAAAGATGGACAAGCACATTTTATGCATTACCTATCTCTTCTAACATAATTTGGGGTAGATTGTAGGGGTGATACCAAAATATCATTTAATCATATTTGATATCTTAAATTATTTTATTCCAATTTCATTTTAGACTGTTTTATTCCAATTTCATTTTAAATCTTATTTTATTCCAATTCCATTTTAAATTGCTTTTACCAAATTTTTGTAATAACTTGTTTCTGGAACGTTGCATTTTGATATGGCCCAACGGCAGGCAAATAAATAAGTAAATAAACAAACAAGAACATAACATTTTGAGGTGTGAAGTGCTGCTTAAGCTGAGGTATTAGCAGTTATGTGACAGGAAGAAATATAGGTCAAAAGAAGCATGCAGTCTTGATGAT